TGTTTGTACTTGTGTATTGTCTGCAGTGCATGCGTGGTACGGTAAAAATACACGCGCCGGGTGTCCCCTGGTCGAATGGGAATTCTTGACGACCGATTCCTGCGCTGGCAAACTTTTATTGTGGTGGAATTAAATCGGGGCGGAGGTAATTTAAACGGGGCGCAACGATTGAAACAGGGGGGAGTTTTCCCAAACGGGGCGCGCGCGCCCCGTTTGCGCAACGTAGGGAGAACCCTGCATTAAATAGCTCCGGCTTGTATCACACGTGTGATTTATCACATAGGGGAATTCTATTTGATATACAGGTTTCATTACTAATGTATGTGTAATAATATTAATAGAGGTAAACGGTAACAAATATGGCAAATATCTAGCGGGGCACGCTCCATTATCCTGTTGTGAATACACAAATAATAGAAATGTAGTGAATGCAAACAATATACCTCAAGAAGGTCCTGTTTTACATGCCACATCTCTGTTACAACAGGGTGCAAATCAACCAATCTCTTCTTAGGTGAAGGTGACAGCATGCGCAATTGCTTTGCTTCTTGTAGCCTCACTCTTGTCAACTGATCACCGCCAATCACTACCTTGCATTCATGGAGCAAATCAGCAGAGCCTTAAAAGGAGCAAAGTGTTCAAATGCAGAGTATTATTATTACTATTGTTTGCTCTACGGTGTCTAATAATAGTGATATGGCCTTATAATAGTGATGGATGGGATTTTTGGCTTAAATTAATAATAGTAATGTCTCATTTCATTTGAACATGATGGTGTGTATGTTTGCTCCGAATTAATAAACGTGACCACGTTGATTTGGCACCTGGTAGTATATTGTATATTGCTGATGAAAATGTGGGAGGTCCTTCATAAAATTTTGCACCAACTCGCTGCATGATTTAATTTAAAAACTTGCCACATAAAATGTTATTTTATTAATATTACATGAAAAATACAAATTTTACTTGATCTGATCATATTACCATATTAACCTATTCGCTATATATGTAGAACAAATTATAAACCTACCATATACTTCATCATACATGGATTGAAGAGTTTCCTGCCACTCGTCCAAAATGCAGAGACACTCATCATGCTTTTTCTCATCTCGAAACTGTAATGGCAGCTGGAAAACCTTGGATTTCTGGCACATCTTTGCGGAGTAAGCGTGGTGAATGTGTTTAGGCAGCAATTCTTTCATCCAGGAGAAAGCCGGTAATGTGGATATAATTCGTGCAAGAATTATTTCATAGGCATACTCGAGTCGTCTCTTGTGTTCGCCATGAGGAATGAAACCTTCTGGTTCGATATCCTTACCATCGAATGGTGTTGGAGATTTATTACTCATGTCTGGTTTTGCAATCCTACTGAAAATCACATTCGAGACGAAAAAATGGTGATCTTTGTGTGGGTTGTCTACTGCTTGGCTTCCTGTCTTCACCTTCATGTCAAGATTGTCACCAGTGATTTTAATCAATGGATTTTTCCTTAGTTCAATCAACACATTTTTCATCATATTCTGACTGGCTTCAGTCTGAAGGTTGATCTTGGAAGAGCATGATAGGTACACTCCAAGGTGGTTCAGTCTTGTAAAGCCCTATTGTAAATATATCAATTGTTAGCAATTAGTTGGATATTCTGGAATACATGCACAATGTATACAGTAAATATGATTATAAAAATGTCATTAGACCAGATTTATACAGCAATCAACCATGTAGGCCCATACAACCAAGAGCACTTGGGACCAGCAATAACAAAATTGCCATATATTAAAGAAAAGGTAATCTATTGTTTGGGGAGGGCTTTGGTCAGGAAATGAAGTTATCGGTTTAAGGGTTGGGAAATTTCTAATTATTTCTGACATTTTTCATGAAAGCGAGAGTAGAAATGCTCACGATAAAATCCTGTTATATAAACACGTGTGTTTGGACACATGTAAATGTATATCGTGCTGCGAAACAAGTCTACAAACAATCATGGCACGTACACGATTATGGTAAGCGATTGTGCGCTCTCTCATTTGTTCAAGCAATCAGCCATGAAACAGAAATTGTAACTACTTTCGACAGGGATAACTCTAACGTCGTTTGCAAATATTAACTTGCAATGTATGTAAATTTATGTTATTAATAGGATTAGATATTTAACCTGGTCTTCCAAATGTCCTCGGACACAAACAAGAGTGACCATGCGGTGCCATGCTGATAGATGATGCTCTCGCTCTTTCATGAGGATAGAAAATGCTGCTACAATTGCTGAAATAGTGCTCTGCTTGATGTTTCTGTTGGATATATCTAGGAGACTGCAGAATACCTCAAGCAAGAATGGAACTCTGCAAAGAAGTTAAAATGAAACGTTATATAAACACAATGAGGCACTCTGCATGAGGCAACATAGACGTACATGACATGATTACCGTTCGATAATCCTGCGGGGCGTTGGTCCTACGGGGCACGCATGCACAGGTCTACGTAGGAACCCACGCATACACACAGGCGCACGCAGACACACACGCACACAGGCACGCACGCGTAGGCAGGTACCCCATGAGATTCATTATCACATAAGGACATATATTTACACCTGTTACATAATTATAGACATTGATATTGTCTTGCTTTATTCTTTACCTGTCATGTATTTCCTGGAAAACACGATCTATGAATTCCTAGGAACATTTCACCAGTGAATCAATATCTCTGCATTTATACAGCTCAGAAGATAAAGCCGCATTTCTTGAACACAATAATGCAGCGTCACATTTTATTGTGTTTAGCATCTGAGTTTTTGTGGTGACAGCATTGGTATCACAGTTCACAGTTTTATTTATATCGCTTGAAGATTCGGCTAGAACAACAATAGGTGATGCCTTTACTGGAGCTGTAACTAACGCCGGACGTCTCACATACAAATGTTCTGAGATGGCATCATGAATCACATTTTCTTTGTCATTTTGAAGTTCATTGTCGTTAGTATCGCCAGTAACAGAACTTTCAGCAGTCGCGTTCACAGTGGCATCTGACAATAATTGTTTTCTTGCTTTCGCTGCTTTTAGTCTTCTATTGGGTGATTTCGCAAGTAATTTTGTGCTTCGCCTAGGTGTGCCGGGAGATGTAAACATTCGTTTTGTCCTTGTTTGATTTGGTGATATAATGTATTGACTGAGAGATTTCTGCAAGTTAGTTTTATATTCAGTACATGTTTGTAATTTGTTTATACATCTTTGGCAAATCTCGGCAGTTTCGGGTAGTTCATTAGCAATTGTACCAGCTATTGATGTAACTAGTTCTCGAATGTTTTCTTTCATACATTTTTGCTTGTTCAGTTTAAAACACCGGGATTTGTCCGCCGACAAACATGAAAAACATGAAATTGTTGATGTTTTTTTCGGCGTCGACTTAGCAGCCATGTTTCCCTGGAGCTCCGCCCACTTGAAAAGTAGTACCAGCATTATAGCAGTGGTATCCGGAGAACGTTGTGCGAAGGTGGCGCTGCATGCAGTTTGGCTCAATCTACCACTGCCACAAGTGGATTTCGGTTACAATTTGTAACGCTTTTTTACTACAAGTTTTACAGCAGCCACGTTACGCGTATCCTATGTAATACGGTGTGTACTATTAAAAGTTGCAAATATATTAAAAATCCGACCATTATTTTATGAGAAATTTGATAAAATAGTGATACGAAATAGTACGCCCATTTACTACTTTCAAATCATTACGCTGTTTACTAAACTAAGTTCACGTATTTATCATGAATTTTTGGGATGCTTGCCAATATACCTAATTCTCGAACATTGTCTTTGATACATTTTTGCGTATTAAGCTTAAAACATCTAAATTTGTCCACCAACAAACATGCAAATCATAGAAATTTCTAATGTTTTGTTTGGCGGCAACTTCGCGGCCGTTGGATTGCCATTTGTTGGATTTCCCCGGAGCTCCGCCCACTTTAAAAATAGTGCTAGCATTGTGGCAGTGGTATATCCTGAGTGTGGGAAGGGGGCGCTGCATGCAGTTTGATGCGGAAACTGATTACTGACCGAGACATTGACTAAATGAGTCAGGCTACAGGGGGTATGAAATGAGGGGGTATCAAAAACTCATCAGAAATCAACAACTATATTTTGGTTGCTTTTGGAAAATAAGGTCAAAATTTTTTTCGCTTATGATTTTTGAGAGCATCTTGATTTTGCAAGGGGGTGGACCGGTCCACCCGGTCCTCCCCCCTAAATCCGCCCTTGGTCTAAGCTTCAAATCTATACCACTTTCTGCTGGTCCTTCTGAATGGTACATTTGAGCAGGTCTGGCCCATGGACTACTAAAAGTCAAGGAAACTTGGCTATAGTGACTTTGGAATATCTATAGGAACTGTAAACAAAATACTGAAAAAAAGCAAGAATATGAGAATATGAAACTCTAGGAGAAGAAAACTGTAATCCAAATGTAAAGACAGTGAACCAGTGGACTTATCAAGATGATCTGACTGTTCGTATGGTTCAGTGTTTGACACAGCCAGATTATTGTGACCATGCAGTCCAATTATCCAAGCAATAGCCCTGTAGCTAGCCGACAGTCTGAATGTAACATACACCGACCCCTCCCCACCCAACCATTTATGTGAACACCCCGGTTATATGAACATTTATCAGGAGTAGATAATAAAAAATTTTGTTATTATTTACTCCTGATTTTATCTGGCTCAGCCAAGTGTTCGCTGGTGAGAGGTTTCACTGTGCATATAGCTCGGTTTAACCTGTATGACACAGTCGTTACGTTCCCGCCTCGCTACACTAACTACGCCCATATGCGGAACAGTTAGGTTAACGTATCAAGGTGTGGTAATAATCAGTTCAGCTCAGTGGTGTATGCGTGAGTCTGTGATATCCCCTTCCTCCTTCTCCGCCAGCTTCTCCCCCTCCTCCTCCACCAGCTTCTCCCTTCTCCCCTTCCTCCTCCACCAGCTTCTCCCCCTCCTCCACCACCTTCTCCCTTCTTCCCTTCCTCCTCCACCAGCTTCTCCCTTCTCCCCTTTCTTATTCTCCACCAGCTTCTCCCCCTCCTCCACCACCTTCTCCCTTCTTCCCTTCCTCCTCCACCAGCTTCTCCCTTCTCCCCTTTCTTATTCTCCACCAGCTTCTCCCCTCCTCCACCAGCTTCTCCCTTCTTCCCTTCCTCCTCCACCAACTTCTCTCTTCTCCCCTTTTTCCTCCACCAGCTTCTCCCCCTCCACCACCTTCTCCCTTCTTCCCTTCCTCCTCCACCAGCTTCTCCCTTCTCCCCTTTCTTATTCTCCACCAGCTTCTCCCCTCCTCCACCAGCTTCTCCCTTTTCTCCCTC